TCCCACAATTCACCAACACTATTGTTTTAGTTACAAATTACCAGGCCTCAGTACATCTACAGTATTAGGTTCTTTTCACAGTCGTTCAGTGTAGTGGTTCCTAAACTTTGGTTCTCCAGGTGATTTGGACTTAATCTCCCAGAATACCTGACTGTTAGCCAAGCTGACCAGGGCTTATTGGACATGAAGTCCAAAACACCCTCAAGGCCAGAATTTAGTAATCACTGGTTTAGTGGAAGAAAGGACTAGCTTGGTCTCTATGCACTTTGCATTTCCTCATATTTGGGTTCCAACTTTTGCCTCTCTCCACTATCACATTTTTGACTTAAGGGGGCCTTCCACACAGCCCTATATCCCAGGATATCAAGACAGAAAATCCCACATTATCTGAGTGTGGACTCAGATAACCCAGTTCAAAGCAGATTGTGTGGGTTTTTCTGCCTTGATATTCTGAGATAAAGGGCTGTGTGGAAGAGCCCAATGCTTCTTGGGAACAAGTCTTTTTGCTTCTGCTACAAAATACCATGTATATATAGTTTCTGGTTGCTTTAGAATTATTATTAGAATAGGGCTAATACTATACCCCCTACTATACCATACCACAAGCTCTGTGTTGGCATGCTGTTAGTATTGGAATACAGAAATTAAAAGTGCATTATGACAAGGGCAAAGCTCAACATAGTTTTGCTGTAGTATAAAAATGATTTTACTGTATAATGAAAATGATTTTATTTTAATTTATATTTAAAGTATGTTTTCTCTGCGGTTTTTTTGCCAGTTGCTTGAGAGTTCCAGTTAACTGAGAGTCTACTGTATATTGGGCAAGATGAAAAGTCAAGCTAAAGAAACTGCTAACCTTTCCAGGAACAATCATTTGCTGTTTGATATTAACTACACTACACTTCGACACTGCCATATAATCCAGAATATCAGGACAGATAATCTAATTTATAATCTACTTTAAAATTTCTTATCTGAAGCCCCTTCCACACAGCTGTATAAAATCCCATATTATCGGCTTTGATCTGGGTTATATGGTAGTTTGGACTCAGATAACCCAGTTCAAAGCAGATATTGTGGATTATCTGCCTTGATATTCTCGGTTATATGGCTGTGTGGAAGGGCCCAGAATCTACACTGCCAGATAATCCAATTCAAAACACATAATCTGTATTTTAAAATATACAAGCAAAGCAATACACTAAATGGGTTGTTGTAGGTTTTTTCGGGCTATATGGTCTAGAGGCATTCTCTCCTGACGTTTTGCCTGCATCTATGGCAAGCATCCTCAGAGGTAGTGAGGCCTGTTGGAACTAGGAAAAAGCGTTTATATATCTGTGGAATGACCAGGGTGAGACAAAGGACTCTTGTCTGCTGGAGCTAGGTGTGAATGTTTCAACTGACCACCTTGATTAGCATATAATGGCCTGACAGTGCCTAGAGCAAACTTTTGTTGAGAGGTGATTAGATGTCCTTGTTTGTTTCCTCTCTGTTGTTGTGCTGTTGTAATTTTAGAGTTTTTTAATACTGATAGCCAGATTTTGTTCATTTTCATGGTTTCCTCCTTTCTGTTGAAATTGTCCACATGCGTGTGTATTTCAATGGCTTCTCTGTGTAATCTGACATGGTGGTTGTGAGAGTGGTCCAGCATTTCCTAGTTCCAACAGACCTCACTACCTCTGAGGATGCTTGCCATAGATGCAGGCGAAACGTCAGGAGAGAATGCCTCTAGACCATGGCCATATAGCCCGAAAAAACCTACAACAACCCAGTGATTCCGGCCATGAAAGCCTTCGACAATACATTAATACACTAAATATCAAACATTACTTCACATTCAATATTTAATGTTTTGCTTTGTTGGCAATTAATAAACTGGTGAATGCAATCCCTAGTGTGTTGTAACAGTTCTATGGCAAGATATAACATCTGAATAAAATCCCACTTTATCTGCTTTGAACTGGGCTATATGGCAATGTGGACTCAGATATTCCAGTTCAAAGCAGATATTGTGGGTTATTCTGTCTTGATATTCTGGGGGTCCTTCCACACAGCCCTATATCCCAGAATATCAAGGCAGAAAACCCCACATTATCTGAGTGTGGACTCAGATAATCTAGTTCAAAGCATATATTGTGGGATTTACTGTCTTGATATTCTGGGATATAGGGCTGTGTGGAAGGGCCTATAGTCATAGAAAGCCCTACAATACACAATGTGACATCTGGAAGCTGAGGGGAATGTCAACTGAGTTTTATTTTAGGGACTTCCCTCACACCTGAAGGGGACTAAAGGCCCTTCCACATAGCTATATAATCCTGAATATCAAGGCAGAAAATCCCACAATGTCTGCTTTGAACTGGGTTATCTGAGTTCACATTGCCATATATTCCAGTTCAAAGCAGACAGTGTGGGTTTTTATTCAGCTGTGTGGAAGGAGCCTAAGGGTGGATCTATACTGTAGAATTAATGCAGTTTGATACCACTTTAACTACCAGGGCTCAGTGCTATGGAATCATGAGAGCTCTTGTTTTACAGGGTTTTTTAGCCTTCTTGAAGAGACATCCCTTTATAAATCCCCTCAGAAGCAAAAGTCTCTGGGCCCTTCCACACAGCCATATAAACCAGAATATAAATAATAATAATAATAATAATAATAACAACAATAATAATTGTATTGTTGAAGGCTTTCATGGCTGGAATCACTGGGTTGTTGTAGGTTTTTTCGGGCTATATGGCCATGGTCTCTAGAGACATTCTCTCCTGACATTTTGCCTGCATCTATGGCAAGCATCCTCAGAGGTAGTGAGGTCTGTTGGAACTAGGAAAAAGGGTTTATATATCTGTGGAATGACCAGGGTGGGACAAAGGACTCTTGTCTGCTGGAGCTAGGTGTGAATGTTTCAACTGACCACCTTGATTAGCAATATAATGGCCTGACAGTGCCTAGAGCAAACTTTTGTTGAGAGGTGATTAGATGTCCTTGTTTGTTTCCTCTCTGTTGTTGTGCTGTTGTAATTTTAGAGTTTTTTTAATACTGGTAGCCAGATTTTGTTCATTTTCATGGTTTCTCCTCCTTTCTGTTGATTGTCCACATGCTTGTGGATTTCAATGGCTTCTCTGTGTAGTCTGACATGGTGGTTGTGAGAGTGGTCCAGCATTTCTGTGTTCTCAAATTAAAATGCTGTGTCCAGGTTGGTTCATCAGGTGCTCTGCTATGGCTGATTTCTCTGGTTGAAGTAGTCTGCAGTGCCTTTCATGTTCCTTGATTCGTGTTTGGGTACATCTAATCACCTCTCAACAAAAGTTTGCTCCAGGCACTGTCAGGCCATTATATGCTAATCAAGGTGGTCAGTTGAAACATTCACACCTAACTCCAGCAGACAAGAGTCCTTTGTCCCACCCTGGTCATTCCACAGATATATAAACCCTTTTGCCCAGTTCCAACAGACCTCACTACCTCTGAGGATGCTTGCCATAGATGCAGGCGAAACGTCAGGAGAGAATGCCTCTAGACCATGGCCATATAGCCCGAAAAAACCTACAACAACCAATAATAATAATAATAATAATAATAATAATAATAATAATAATAATAATCTTTATTTATACGCAGTCACCATCTCCCCAATGGGGACTCAGGGCGGCTAACATGAGACCAGGCCCTTTAAAATACAATAAAATGCAGCACAATACAAAAAAACAAAATGTATCGAAAAAATAAATTACAACAACAAAGTGAAATAATAAAGCAAATTCACACAATATAAAATCAAACAGGATGGGCAGGCCAAATGGACAAAATAAAACGATCAAGGCAGAAAATCCCACAATATCTGCTTCGAATTGGGTTGTCTGAATCCACACTGACACGTATTTCAGTTCAAAGCAGATAGGCCGAAACTAACAAAATGAAATTCAACAGTGACAAATGCAAGATACTCCACTTTGGCAACAAAAACGAAATGCAAAGATACAAAATGGGGGACGCCTCGCTCGAGAGCAGTACATGTGAAAAAGATCTTGGAGTCCTCATGGACAACAAGTTAAACATGAGCCAACAATGTGATGTGGCGGCAAAAAAAGCCAATGGGATTTTGGCCTGCATCAATAGAAGCATAGTGTCTAGATCTAGGAAGTAATGCTACCCCTCTATTCTGCTTTGGTTAGACCACACCTGGAATATTGTGTCCAATTCTGGGCACCACAATTCAAGAGAGATATTGACAAGCTGGAATGTGTCCAGAGGAGGGCGACTAAAATGATCAAGGGTCTGGAGAACAAGCCCTATGAGGAGCGGCTTAAGGAGCTGGGCATGTTTAGCCTGAAGAAGAGAAGGCTGAGAGGAGATATGATAGCCATGTATAAATATGTGAGAGGAAGCCACAGGGAGGAGGGAGCAAGCTTGTTTTCTGCTTCCCTGGAGACTAGGACGCGAAACAATGGCTCCAAACTACAAGAAAGGAGATTCCATCTGAACATGAGGAAGAACTTCTTGACTGTGAGTGCCGTTCAGCAGTGGAACTCTCTGCCCCGGAGTGTGGTGGAGGCTCCTTCTTTGGAAGCTTTTAAACAGAGGCTGGATGGCCATCTTTCAGGGGTGATTTGAATGCAATATTCCTGCTTCTTGGCAGGGGTTTGGACAGGATGGCCCATGAGGTCTCTTCCAACTCTTTGATTCTATAAATGTGGGATTTTATTCAGCTGTGTGGAAGCGGCCTTTGTGTCTGTCCCACAGCAGGTGATACTAAGCCCGCCCACTTCCTCTCTTGATTGGTTGCCTGGCTGAATCCGCCTCAAGATTGACAGAAAACTGTCAGTGCCAAGCAGGTGCACAGATTTTACCTCACGCGGCTTTTTTCCTCCCTCAACTATTTTGCTGAGGGCAGGGAAAAGCCCTCATTTTGTGGCATAGTTTGAACTTTTCACTTGCCACAATAGCCTCCCTTGATATAGTTTGCAAACAGTTTAACGCCTATTATTGAAGGGGAAGCTCAATGATGGCTTTCTCCCAAAGGACAGACTGGAGGTTGTTCACTTTATTGGAGCAACACCGACTTTCCCTCAAGGAAGCAATGGGGCAATCTGTTGTTGCCAGTGATAACTATGAAATATCTAGGTAAAGGAGCTTCAAATGGAGTCGCATCACAGAAGAGAGTCAGGGCTCTCCATCCTTCTATATTCACATTGGTCTACATCAGGCATGGGCAAAGTTTGGCCCTCTGGGTGTTTTGGACTTCAAGTCCCACAATTCCTGGCCTTGGGCTCTTTCCTTTTCCCCCTCAGCTGCTTAAGCGGCTGAGGGGGAAAAGGAAAGAGCCCGAGGCCAGGAATTGTGGGACTTGAAGTCCAAAACACCCAGAGGGCCAAACTTTGCCCATGCCTGTGTTACAATTTCCTTTTCTTTGGTCTGCAAAAGCTAGCACGTTGTAATTTTGGACTATGACTCTGAGAACCAGGGTTCAATTTTCTGCTCAGCCATAGAAAAGAGATTGGAGCTGGATCCTCACTGCTATATAATCCAGTTTCAGAATGCAGATGAACTGCATTGAACTGGTTTATATGGCAGTGTTCCAGTCGGTGGAAAAAGCAAGTGCGGGAAAACTTTCCTTCAAGCATGCACTTGCTGATATCAATAATGGTTGCTGGCCATTTTCCCTTAGTTCCAGTGACAGCACATGAACCTAGCTACAGTGTAACCTAAAGACTCAATTATAACCAGACGGCTACTTTATAAACTTGCACATTTTGAGAGTATCAAGCAGTTACGTTTGCCTACTTTCTTCAGACTCATAACAGACCTCATAGGCAACACTGAAGTCCTGTGAAGGTGAAGTGCTTAAAATAGGCAAATGGTTCCTCTGCAATGCAATTTGACACCATTTTAACTGCCATGGCTCAATGCTATGCCATCCTGGGAGTTTTATTTCGATGACGTGCCAGCACTATGTAGCAAGGAAGGCTGAAGACCTAGTAAAACTATTTGTTGTTTATTTGTTCAGTTGCTTCCGACTCTTCCTGACATCATGGACCAGCCCACGCCAGAGCTCCCTGTCGGCTGTCACCACCCCCAGCTCCTTCAAGGTCAAGCCAGTCACTTCAAGGATACCATCCATCTTGCCCTTGGTTGGCCCCTCTTCCTTTTTCCTTCCATTTTCCCCAGCATCATTGTCTTCTCTAAGCTTTCCTGTCTCCTCATGATGTGGCCAAAGTACTTTGGCTTTATTTCCTGAAGTATGGACTGGTTGGATCTTCTCACAGTCCAAGGCACTCTCAGAATTTTCCTCCAAAAACTATAGCTTCCATTATTCCATAGCACTGAACCATAGCAGTTAACGTGGTGTCAAATTACATTAATTCTACAGTGTTGATGCATCCTTAGACGGCTTGTGCTAGATACTTTCCACTCATCAAACCTGCCTTTACCTGCTTTTAAACAATTCCTATTCTGGCTCCATCTATACTGCCATATAATACAATTCAATGCAATTAAAACTGCCACATAATAAATTGCATTATGAAACTGCATTATATGGCAGTGTAGATAGGTCCTCCGAGGCCCCATTTACATTGTCATATAAAATCCAAATTATCTGATTTGGATTATATGAGTCTACACTGCCATAAAATCCAGTTCAAAGAGGATAATCAAAGCAGGATTTTATATGACAGCGTAGATGAGGACCCTTCCAGGCAGGCCTTATATCCCAGGATATGATCGCAGTTTTTCTGCTTTAAACTGGATTATATGAGTCCGTACTGCTAGATTATCTGGGATAAACAGAAAATCTGGGACCAGATCCTGGGATATAGGACCTGTCTGGAAGGGCCATGAGTGTTGATATCCACTCCTGCTGTCGGCTTGCCACTTCTTGTTAACATCCAATCTTCAGCAAAGACTTTTGGAGTGAGGGTGGCAGTCTGTGCTGTGGAGAAGAATGGCAAAATTCCACTTGTATAGCACTGGATGCAACAAAATATCTCAGGAGGGGGGAATTTATAGTTTGCTTACAGAGAGAGGCTTAGACAGAACCACAACCTCAACTTCTCCCATCCTGGTTCATTTGGTTTCTTCATCATTTTGGTGCTTCGGAAGAGATAAAGAGGACAGGAATAAGGAAGGTATATATATCCTCAGCTCTCTTGATTTAACAGGGAGAGTCTTGAATAACTATGGCCCTTTCCACTCAGCCCTATATATCCCAGAATATCAACGCAGAAAATCCCACATTATTTGAGTGTGTACTCAGATAACCCAGTTCAATGCAGATATTGTGGGATTTTCTGCCTTAATATTCTGGGATATTGGGCTGTATGGAAGGGACCCCCCCCCCCCCCAGTAAGCACTGTTCTTTCTGCTGCTTTTAAAATATACTTGTTTCTCCCCCTTCACCTCCAACCTTTCCCCTTTGTCCTCAGTTTTCTTCAATTGCTGCAAACTGATATCAAAATGATTAAGTAGTTTGCACTCAATTAACTTCCATTAGGGAGAGGATAAGGCAGAATCATGCCCTTCCCAATATAATTGTTTGGTGCCTTCCTGTCATTTCTAGTGAATCTATCACATGATTTTCTTGACAAGATTTCAGAGAGAGTTTGCCTTCTTCTGAGGCTGAGAGAAAGTGAATTGGACAAGATTTCCATGACTGAGTGAGGATTCAAACTCTGTTCTGCCAGAGTCAAAGTATAATGTTCAAGCCACTATGCTACACTGGCTCTCACCCCTTCTCAGTTTGCACAGGCAAAACCAAACTGCTACAGCAGGTATGGGCAAACTTCAACTCTCCAGGTGTTTTGGACTTCAACTCCCACAATTCCAAACAGCTATTGGCTGTTAGGAATTGTGAGAGTTGAAGTCCAAAACACCTGGAGGGCCAAGGTTTGCCAATGTCCGTGCTACAGCCACTCTCAGCTTGTGTATTCTTCCTCATTAATACTTTTTGCACCTTAACCACTCTTTGAAGTTTCTTAGCCACATGTGTCCTGTTTTTCATATGTGAAATGTTGGGACGTATCTGAAGTGCCCCTGAGCAAAACAGGGCAACATACAGTTTTGTGGCGCGAGTATTTCTCCATTATTGGCTTTTCAGTGTTATGCACACACACACACACACACACACACACACACAGAAGAATCTGGGGTGTGACATGGGCAATCCAACAGGACTGAGAAACACTTTTTAATCTCTTTCCGTCTCTTGCAAAAAGTCAACTGCGAAATTGGCTAGACAGTATAAAAGTTTAAAATGTAACAAAAATGAATACTGACACTTTTATTGATCCATGACACAAATACAGTGGATATGTAGTGTAAATTATTTGTCATTTAATACAAATATCTTTAGCAACGTATTGTTTTTAAATTTTAATTTAGAATATTTTGAATATATGTTTATATAACATAGTTTGCTAACATACTTAAATGGTCTCTCCCCCTGCCCCTCAGTTTAATTCTGTAACTGAGTTTAGTTCCTGTTGTGAAACAATGATTTAAGTGCATTTGTATTTGAGTTGCCAAAAGAAAGAAAGAATGCTCATGCTGTGACTTGTTGGAAAAGAGCTGACAGGCCTTATCCTCATGTGATACATCTGTAGTGCCTTGCTGTTCCCAGCTTAGATTTCTCTGTAATTAATGCTGAGAGCTTTTTAAGTTGGCATGTTTGGCCATTAATGCATCTTTTTCTTCTTAAGAGTTACTTCATCTTTAAGAAGTGGGAGCGAAAATGAAAGAGAGAACATATGTGATTTGTTCCAGTGAGCATGCCATTCAAATCCTTCCCTTTCTCCTTTAAAGCACTCTCAACTTCTGTTGGCTCCAAACCCCAAGACATTAATCCGAGATGTGAAACCTGGATCTGCCATTTGGCACTGTTTACCAGCCACACATTTCTGAAGATGAAACAAAAACATATCTGTCTAAATTATCTGACTTAGGCAGAACAATGGCAAAATTCAATACACATGGGTCTTAAAAGAGCACTGCAAAGAATCAGAAATTGAAGGAATTAGAAGTAAAAGTAGCAGAAAACATGGCAAATCAGCTATGCTGACAACTCTTTGATTCTGCCCATCAAAATAAGTTTATTCTGAATCATTTCAACCTTAAACACCAGCAAATTTTAAGTAAAACATATTTGAAATATAAGGGTTGGTTATTTATAAAGTACTTATGATTCTGATAAATGTTAGCCCTCCAATTAAAAAAAACTCAAAATTTCATCATTTTTAAAGCATTAATGCACAATCATCTTTTTTTTAAAAAAAAACTTTATATACTTTTAATAAGAATGAAACACATCATGGGAATCTACAGTTCATTCTAAAATATACCACAAATATGTTCGTCTTCAAGGAAGGGCCACAGCTGAATGTGATCATCCAAAGTTAAACATTTAGTTATAATCCAAAGAACCACACAACTAGTTCTTCATGCCAAAGGGGACTTTGGACTTCTGTTCTTTGAACTGAAGCCAAACTTACTTGCAACCCACCATCTCCATTCACATGCTTGAAACTGAGAGACATTGCTAAAGTGGTTTGCAATATGGCAGTAGTTTTCAAGATAAAAAAAAAGGTAAGCGCTTGGAAATATCTTGAGTAAATTTTCTGTTGGATTTTAAACACATCACCAGTATTAAGTGACTATCAGAAAAATATTCCAAGGTCCTGTGTTGCCTACCAATATCTTGTAGGATACACCAGACATTTTAAGTACAGTCCTTCAAAACATTGTCAGCAATAAATACTGGCTGTGGAATCACATCTGGAGGTATCCTGCATGCTTAAAGTTTTAGAGACATCATATACTGGAAAGCACCCAGTATCTTTGGGACAATGATATAAAGACTTAACTCCACCTTTAGCAACTTTAATTACAGGTTACTCATGCCAAAATCTAAATAAATATTAAAATCAAAATTATAGGATTGTTTGGAAAAATGTTTAGTTATGAACTCTTCCTCGAAACCTCCTCTCTGTAGTAGTTATTGCCTACGTTATCACACCTCTTAACACCCCTTGGACATCACTTTTGTTTTGCTGGAAATACACATTTAAACTGGCTGTTTTGCATCTTAGCATAAATTTCTTCTATGAGCAAGTCAGAGCATCATTTGCACCATAGCTGTGTCACATTTTGGCATAATGCAGATTTTCTATATAGATCACTAGGTGTGATTTTATTTTACATAGTCTGTTCACAGCAAGATGTAAATCAACAGATCAGGAAAACATTGTCTAAGGTAGCTATAGAGGTCTATGGTAAAAATTAGCCTAATTTTATTCAGTTAATCTAACTGTATATCAAAAAACATTTAAAAAATTAACATTCTAACATTTCACATTTCAGTTTATCTGATATATATTTACAAGTAATATCTGATTTTTAAATAAATTCATAAAGCCTCTATGAGTTTGCTGCTATATATAAAACAGAATCCACTAAGAGCACAGTTATCCTATTTGAGAGGAGGGGATTAAAAAATTAAGCAGAACTGTCATTTTGTTTACAGGAGGCTCAGATCAAACCATTATTTTAAAAAAACAAAACACCGGGAGCAGCACTTCCGCCATTCTTAGTTCAGATCATAATGCATTTTATCTCTCTTCCCTCCCTTGCCACACACACAATGTTCCTATCCAGCCAAAACCTTTATATAATTAAAAACCACAGGCACTCATTCAAAGTGTCAGATCAAAAGGTTAATGTGCTATGGTAAAGAGGAAGTACTTATATTATACCCTTGAATTTTTTTGAAGTTTACAGTATTTAAAAACAAGTTAAGTCAAACCCTGGCCAAAGCTAATATTACATCATTTGATTTAAAACATTAATTATAGTTGTTTTAAACAAGCCGATCCAAAATATTTGGCTGGCTGAGGAAAAAGCCTCATAGGTAGAGGTTGGCAATATACTATCTAAAGGAAGTTTCTGCACATGGAATGGTAGATTACAATGTCTAGGTATACTGAAAGCAAAAGAAAGTGCAGGTTTTAAGTTTTGTAGTGTAAAAACCCAGGAAACAAAGCAATTATGAAATGAAATTGTTTTTTTCTTTCTTTTCTGGCACTGTGGAACTGGAATGCATGCTGTGTGATACTGTAAATCAGCTTGTTTTGTTTCAGCCCCGAGGTTCTAAGAACAATAGAAAATGTTATTGAAGATGTTATCATATGTCTGTCCAGAAATGAAGCACCTGTTCTAATCCTGAAAAACAGATCCAATTGGGAAAATATTCAGTAGGTAACTTTTACCATGCTTGTTACTCTGTTGTAAACAAATTGTTAAGACCAAATTAAGGAAATTATGAACGAAGTGCCAATTATATAGAAGCTAGTATAGACACTGATCTGTCTGCTACAGTCAACTCTGACTGGTGGCAGCTCTTCATGGTTTTAGGAAGAATTTTTCCTAGTTCTGCCTGGAGATCTCTGGTACTCTCTGGTTGTCTTTCATCATGTACTGCAAGGGCTGAACCTGCTTAGCTTTCAGTATCAGATAAGATACACAGGGAGGTATGTAGTCCTAAATGTATTTGTCTTTTTATATTGTGCTTCATTATATTAGTGTTTCTCCTATATCCTCATGGGCAGAAATTTCTGTTCATATCACAATATATACATTAGAAGATAAAATAAATCTTGGTTAAGTAGAAGGCAGTAAAAAGGGGGGAAGACCACATTATCGATGGATTGACTCAATAAAATAAACTATGATTTGTGAGACCTCAGCAGAACAGCTGATGATCAGGACTCTTGGGACCTCATCACATGGAGGTCCATAAGCCGGGAAACAGAGGGGTAAATCCGTGGGGCAGTGGGGGAAACAGTTGGGCAGTGTTCCACATTGCCATCCCATGCCGTTTACCCTCTGTGCATGGCTTGGTCTTGCACCATCCCCGACTTAGTCTATGAGAACACAGATAGTCACACATGTTCTCAGGACTGCCTCTTAGCATGCTGCATCACATGGTCTCTGGCGGGCTCTATCCTGGCTCTATCTTGGCAATGTCCTAGAATGGGCAAAAACCCAATGTGATAAGGTCCTTGGAGTCTTCCTCTCTTACTACTTCCTCCTATTTGCCAAGCAAAATTGTAATTTCTAATGAGTTATGTCCAACATATGACAGTCCCAAACATCATGGCTTCTACAAAGAGTTCAGTCACTTTCGGGCCCAATTATTTGTCTTTATGGTAATCCATACAGTCACAGAATTCTCCTCCAGCATCCCATTTCATATGAGTACACTACTATGCTGTATATTAATTCCCCATTTTTAATGGAAAGCAATGAAGCAGGTTGGCAACAAAAAAGAGAAATATGATAGATAGGACTCACACACAATCATGGAAAAAACTAGTTAAATGTAATTAACTAAGCCCAGCTTAACTGTCCGAATGTATCTCTCCCTATGAACCATCCAGGGGTTTAAGATCATCTGAGGAGGCCCTGCTCTCAGTCCCGCCTTCTTCGCAGGTGCAACTGGCGGGGACGAGAGACAGAGCCTTTTCAGTGGTGACCCCTTGGCTGTGGAACCATCTCCCTAGGGATATTAGATCAGCCCCTTCTCTCCTGACCTTCCGAAGAAAAATAAAAACATGGCTTTTTTAACAAGCCTTTGGGAACTTAGTGCAATAGATGAACACAGAACTATATGAAATAAAATATTAGAACGGCTCAGATGAGGTTTCTGGATGACAAGGCTAATAGTAAAGGTAGTGGTGTTATATGTTTTTAAAGGTATTAATGTATGTAATTTATAATTCTGTTTTAAATGTTTATTGTAATTTTACATTGTTTTAATGGCATCAAATAGCTCCCTATGTTGTAAAGCCGCTTTGAGTCACCTTTTGGTTCAAGAAAGGCGGGGCAGAAATATCGTAAATAAATAAATTGTGATAACTGCCATGAAATCCCCTTTAACTTATGGCAACCGCTACACATGCGAGATGTTCAAGGGCCCTTCCAGACAGGCCCTATATGCCAGGATCTGATCTCAGGTTTTCTGTTTATCTCAGATTATCTGGCAGTGTGGACTCATATCATCCAGTTTAAAGCAGAAAAAGTGAGATCAGATCCTAGGATATAGGGCCTGTCTGGAAGGACCCCAAGTCACTTTATCCTCAACAGCCGTTAGGTTCTGGTGGCTCAGATCTGTGCTTTCCATTGAGTCTATCCAGCTACAGAATGGTTTTCCTCTTTTCCTACTGCCATCTACCATACCAGTGTTACTGTCTTTGTTAGTAAGTCAGGTCTTCAAATAATATATCTGAAGTGCAACAGTTTCAGTTTAGGCATCTGCACTTTCTAAGAAGAATTTAGATTTGCTCGGGGATCTTGTCTATTTCTTTCCTAGCTGCTTTTCCAGGTCATAGTCTTCTTCTGAATACAATACTTGATTGCGATCTTGACTGAAACAAGATATAGAAAATCCTGAACTATTTCAGTGCCTTCATCATCTGCTTTAAAGTTATGTACCTACAGTAGTAGGTGAATCATTACTTTTGTTTTCTCAATGTTCAACTGTAAATCTGCTTTTGTACATTCTCCCTTGACTTTCTTCAGTAATAATTCCAAGCATTTGCTATTTTCTGCTAGTAAGATGTTGTCATCTGCGTATTTTAAATTGTTGATATTCTTTCCTCCAATTTTCATGCCTCCTTCCTCCAAGTGTAATTATGCTTTTCGTATGATATGTCGTGTGCAAGTTAAATAGATGGGGTGATCAAATACAGCCTTGGGTAACTCTCCCTGCCAGTTGGAAACCATTCTGTATTCTATCCTTATGGTAGTCCTAATTTCTAAGCTAAGGTCATGCAGCTGGAAAATTAAATGTTGTAGTACACCAATTTATTTAAGAATGAGCCATAATTTTTTATGATCTACACCAGTGTTTCTCAACCTGCGGGTCGGGACCCCTGGAGGGATCGCCAAAGACCATCAGAGAACACAGTATTTTCTGTTGGTCATGAGGGTTCTGTGTGGAAAGTTTTACCCAATTCTATTGTTGGTGAGGTTCAAAATGTTCTTTGAATGTAGGTGAACTATAAATCCCAGCAGCTACAATTTCCAAATGTCAAATTCTATTTTCCTCAAATTCCACCAGTGTTCACATTTGGACATATTGAGGATTTGTGCCAAGTTTGGTCTGGATCCATCATTGTTTGAGTCCAAAGGTCTCTCTGGATGATGGTGAACTTTTGTTTATTTATTTATTTACTATATTTACTATTTTATTATGAGACGAAGCGGATTAGTTAGTGTAACTTTTAATTGTTGTATTGCTGTTTTGCTAGTATGTTGTTTGTAACTGTCTTTTTGTAAATTGCCTTTTATACTGTACACCGCCGTGAGTCGCCCGTGAGGGCTGAGAATGGCGGTTAATAAATGCACCAAATAAATAAATAAATAAATATATCGATATCCTGCCCTTCTCAACCCCGAAGGCAGCTTACAGCAGAGGCAAAAGTCAATGCCTTAAACAATTCAACAATTAAATAACATTAAGTTAAAAATCTAAACGAGGTTAAAAGCAATTAAAACTCCCAAACTCAAGGTCAATGCCCATCAAACCCTTCCAGTATTTTGTGTTGGTCATGGGAGTTCTGTGTGCCATGTTTGGTTCAATTCCATTGTTGTTGGAGTTCAGAATGCTCTTTGGTTGTAAGTGAACTATAAATCCCAGCAAACTACAACTCCCAAATGACAAAATCAATGCCCCCCACAACCCTACCAGTATTCAAATTTGGGCGTATAGGATATTAACATTACGATTCATAACAGTAGCAAAATTACAGTTATGAAGTAGCAACGTAAATAATGTTATGGTTGGGAGTCACCACAACATGAGCAACTGTACTTAGGGGTCCCAGCATTGGGAAAGTTGAGAAACACTGATCTACACACAAAAGATGCTTTTCTTCTGAAATTCTTTGGTGCATGAAAATAACTTGAAGACACACAACAGTTGTTTAATTGCCCCATTTTATAAGTTGAAACATGATGTGTGTGCAACAAGCCTAAAATAAAATAACAGATATCTATTATTGATATATAATTCTTTGTAATTTACAATTTCATAGGCAAATGGATGTGGCCAAAATGTAAACTAGTTCATTGGGTTTTTTCCGCACATTACTAAGGGCCCTTCCACACAGCCATATAACCCAGCATATCAAGGCAGAAAATCCTAGTATATCGGCTTTGAACTGGGTTATCTGAGTCCACACTGCCATATATTCCAGTTCAAAGCAGATAATGTGGGGTTTTATTCAGCTGTGTGGAAGGAGTCTAAGTCTAAATCCAACCCAATGTCTTGACATCTTTCAACTTGTATTGGACTACTACTATAGTATTTTTTGAGATGTTACCATAGTGTCTCCTGCCACCTTAAGGCCTTAAAAAGTAGTGCATTCAACAAACAAAAGAAACAAAACTTCAGTCAAGTCATGCTTTGCCTGCCAATATTTTTCATACTGAATGAAAATTAAATTATGCTGGCTTTTGAATGACAGTTTCTCTAGATATTCCATTTCCATGATAATGATATCTGGTTACAATAACCTACAGTTTTATAAAATTATTAATATGTGTTCTCAGTTCTACACATATTGTTGTGGTGATTAAGTAATTCTGTAGCTTTTGGGAAATAGAATTGGAATAAAAAAAATAGAAGAACGGAAGCAAATTAGTAAACTTTTCCTAATGATATACATTTATGTTTATATTAAACACAACCGTTTCCTAAGGAGTCTTACACATTATGGCATATACTGAAAAGTTATATAAAAGTGATGTTAATTCTCAGTCAGAATACTTGCTAATGTAATGAAGCCTCCTTCTAGATACAATTTTTTCAGCACAGCCACTATGAATCAGTTTGATCTTCACCTCCTTCTTGCTACCTAATTGTCAGTACTGGTATCTTCTCACCTTGTCTGTTAACAGTAAATTCCCCAACTTCAATAAAAACAACTTCAACATGTTTTTAATGACACAGTGAGTGTCACACAGATGATACTGAACAACTGTTTAAAGGTAGTAAGAGGTAGAACATAATAATGGTTCTGACAGGATTTCTGAACTGATTTATAAAATTGCAGGTTTAAAGATTCTGTAGGTTTGCAGTTGGCCACCAATTGTACCACAAGGAAAATAAGATGCAACTGTCCCAAATCAGCAACAAACTTTGGTAAGCAATCAGCTTAACTTCTTGTAATATTGTTCAGTAGGACTCTGCTGATGATCTGGTCATTCAGGAAACCAAAAATAAGCAATAAAAGACAAGAAAAGAAACCAGACACATGTCTTCAGCATACCAAAAGGAAACACCAAGATAGTGTCTTACAAAGAGGCCGGAAAGGTAGGAGTGTTGTGTGTATCACTGCAGCAGCCGGCTAGAGAGCTCATGTTTGTTGCCAGATGCTTTTGCTGATACCAGCAAAAGCATCTATGTGACCAAGGAGGAAGGAGGTAGCCTCCTTCACCCGGGAGATTTCTGGAGATTTCTGAATGGCTGCTGTCATGATAAAAACAACACAGCCCCAATCTGTCCACTTTTCCCTGCACTGGAAAGTGCACAACTGATCTGTAGTTTTGCTGAAACTCCAGAATATTCCCCAATTTCTCATAACAGGGTTAATCAGTTTTGTCCAGCATTTCAGACTTGAAGTCCCAAGACATCATCTGGACATCCAGGTTCAGCACCTGATCAAAGTTAGATTTGAGGTCATACTGACAGACCTTGAGTCATGAGATATCTCTGCAACAAAAATACAAATAGAAATAATGCCCCAAGGGCCAAATTGCATGCCGATGTATAAAATAATTTTGTAGCCATTTCTGCTTCTAAAAATGCATCTCAATAGGAGTATTTCAAAATATTAATTTGAAGTCTGGAATGGATTTGATCCATAGCAGTTCTGACTGAATCGAGAATAAGTTTTCCATGTATTGCTGTTTTTATCATGCTATAAAAGATTTAATATATCCCATTATACAGGTTCTCCTCAGCATACTTTTTGAATGTCTTCTGGTTATTTTCATCTAATCCTTTACAAGTCAGCCATTAATCAAATAGACAAAAGTTTTGAATTTGGCATTTCTCAATTGTAAGATTTGATTTTTTTAAAAATGCAATATTCATTACAGGCTGAGCATAACTTAACTAAAATTCCAAAATCCAAAATATTTCAGAATCACAGTTGTCCACATGGCTGATTGAGATAATTGCATTTTTTTCTTTCAGATGGTTCAGTATATATAAACTTAGTTTCATGTGTAAAATTATTTTTGAAATGTATAAAATTATCTACAGGCTGTGTGATGAAATAAATTTCATGTTTAGATGTGAGTCTCATTGACAATATATCCCATAGTGTACATATATGCAAGTGTAGGTATTCCAAAAGCCAAAAAAGCATCTAAAATCCCCCAAACTTTTGGTCCCAATTTTTTTGGATAAGAAATATTCATCCTATATATATTTATAATACAATTTCTAATTTAATATAAAAAGTCTCAGTGGTCTATGAATATCAAAAAGAGGGTGATCATTTTGTTTTGCATTTCAGCTCTATTTCTTAAAATATTTTCCATTGTCTACAAGATGGTGCAGGCAAATATTTATGCAACTAAAAGGTAATAATCATATTTGCATCTAATTGCACCTATTTGTCTCAAGCTATGATGGTATGATCTTATATTCATTAAGGACTTCATCCCATGCAGTAAAATCAGCATTTCTGCACATTTAAGAAGTGTCAGCTCACGGTGCCCTCACATGACACAAGCTTCAACTGTAGGGCTGAGGTATTTTGCCTGTCTAAAGTGTTGGTTTCCGCAACGATTCTTAAGCCAATTGATAATTGTCTTATTTTTAAATTCCTTGTATAGAGATGGGCAAAACAGCCTGTTTCCTCATGTGATGTTAATCCCTGTTGCCCGTTTGTAAATAAAACAATTACTCTGTGTGGGAGGAGCCGAAATGCTCATTTCCCCAATTTTAAACCACTTCCTACGAATGCCAATGTAGATGCTTGTAAAAAAAGAATCAAGCTTAATTTAAAACCACTTCTTACAATCACCAATAGAGAAGCTTGGGGAAAAATCAAGCTTAATTTAAAATCACTTCCTATGAATGATTGCCAATAGAGAAGCTTGGGGAACAGTCAGTATTAATTTAAAACTGCTTCCTATGATCGCCAATAGAGAGGCTTGGAGAAAGATCAGGGTTAATTTTAAACCACTTCCCACAATCTAGGGTGATTTTTTAAAAGATAAGTAAACAAAATCCTGGAGGGTCAATGGAAGGAAACAAATCTTAATCGTGTGATGGCAAATCAAACGGATAAATCCTAAAATAAGCGGGGAAAATGAGAAGGTGTGTTGAGGGTAGGAAAATCATCAGTTTAATTTCCAAATGTGGCATTGTAAAGTTTAAGAGAAAAATCAACAATCTCAAACACTTGACTTATCCTGTGAGATGAAGTCCTAAGAGTACTTTGTTTAGAAATATATATAAATAACTGTTACATTTTACCTGAAGATTACCTGAAGAATTTTGACATAAAATAAGTAAACATTAAGGGACAAAAATAGTTGCAAAAGCTTGTTTTTCCTTTATAGACTAAGGAAAATAAAGGGATTGTGTTTATAAATAACTGTTGACAAACCTTATAGGAACTGCAAGACCTTAGTATGCCACAACATGAGAAAACACCCAAGGATTGTCCTGAAAGGATATTGTCAGTTACACTTGCAAAAAAATTAATCGTTCAGTTTTATATGACTAGAGGAAAAAATAAAGGAGGATAAAATTGTAGCAACTTTGCATCAATTTTAATGTGTTTCAAGATCTGAATGTTGGAGGTGGTCCTCCAATTAATCACTTGTGCAGGGTTTTCCTCTGCCCTATGCCCCTGGGGGGAAAGAGAGGAACTCCCTGCTGGTACCCACATGCTTCCCAACACCTTCTCCACCTTTCCCAGTGGAAAGCAGAGATAAGAATAACTCAAAGTAAACCACTTTTTCCTTGCCTCCCAAATAGAGGAAAACACTTTGAGGTGTAACAGAACATTGATAAAAGCTTATTCTGTGTATGAAGGATTACATCAAATTTCGTGCTATCGTACCTTGATGTGGTCCTCTCCAGGCATAGCTTAGAAAGATACAGAAATACGTTACACTCTAAAGATACTGGAACCAACCAGGTAGGGAAACATACAAATCACATCCTCAACTGAACTAAAACTGTCCCTCATAACTTATACCAGTGGTTCTCAACCTGTTGGGTCCCCAGATGTTTTGGCCTCCAACTCCCAGAAATCCTAACAGCTGGTAAACTGGCTGGGATTTCTGGGATTTGAAGGCCACAACACCTGGGGACCCACAGGTTGAGAACCACTGATGCAGTCTGGTTTTCAACACCTAGATAAGCAGGAGTGATTCTTTTGAGGTCTATTCATACTGAAAGTATTCCAAGAGGAAAAGTTGAAAGAACAGAACAGAACAACACACCAGAGAACAAATGCAATAAAACTTGCATATCCTTGACCTCCAAAGATTTTAGATCAGTGGTTCCCAACCAGTGGTCTGTGGACTACCACAAGAACTAAAATATGGCCTGCAGCCTCACTGTTACTACACCTCTTATAGTGTTGAGGCAAAAAGGGGGGGGGGGGAGGCTGACTATCCACAAAAGGTATGACAACAAGCTCCCTAACTGCTGCTTCTCCTCCCTCCCTCCCTGAGCAGAGCCGTTCCATGTGGTGCATGGAAGCAGGGGCACCTTGGTGTATTTGTTTTTAGGCCTGTTTCTGGAGTTATTTGGGGTGCTGATTCAGAAAATTGCATTGGATAGACCGCATCAGCTCTAGATTATTAAATATGGTTTTCTATGGGTGAACAGAAGGTGATTACTGGGTGGCATGTGTTCTAGAGCTGATGGGTCTATCCAATGCAGTTTTCTGAATCTGCACCCCAAAAACCCCAAACTAAATCTAAAGTTGACCAAAAATTGATTTGTAACCCTTTTGGTACTAATGTTGGAGAGTGGTCCCTGGTCAAGTGATCCCTGGTCAAAAAAAGGTTGGGAGCCACTGTTTTAGCATCTCTAAACCCACAAAAAGCTCATTTTGCAAAACATAGCTCCCCTGATCTTGTACAGTCTTCTGCCATCCTAAGTGGTAAATTAACCTACTATTAATAGCTTGATACCTCATATGTTATTACAATTATTTGGGAGATTGATTAATAGAAGTTGATGTGTTTGTCACTGTCAACGTTTTTCAAAGAATAAAAAAATATTTTAGAGAAAAAAATCTCTAAATAATTTTATCAGGTTTAACATTTCTTTTAAAATTACTTTTATCTTGACAGAGATATATTCTACACTGATACAGTACTTTTTGGTAATCAAAAAGTTGTAGATGACATTATCACTGATATTTCCTGTATGCTCAAGATACCTAGGAGGAATCTACATATTGTTAAGTATTAAATCATTCTTATGTAGTATGTAAAATGTATATATTTGGAAATGAGGAAGTTCTTATTAATATATGGTTATGATAGGAAATAATAAGGTAAATACGGAATATTGGTTCATTTTTGGCGGTATAGTGCACAAATGCTTCATATCATTAAGTTCCTCAGCTCAAAGCCTCTTTGATAAGTGAGCGCTTGAGATACTCACAAGGAACAGAATTTAACTATTGCTTTCTTGAGAAAGTCTCTATTTCTTCTAATGAATTACTTGCCCTGCTGCATCTTTCTCTCTGTTTTTGGCCATCTCCTGGTCAACTCCACTAAAGCAGGAACATGTTCTACGCTTTTCGGCCACTAATGAGGTTATCTTGGTTGCAAATCTTTTTGTTGCTTGTATTCAAAGACCTTCATTAATCTTTCAAAGAATCATAATGACTTAAAATGTTTTATTTAATGCTTGTATTGTGAGAACCATGTATTCATTTTGGCTCATGTAATACTTCTTGGGCATCAGAAATGTAAGCAAAATTTGAATGTTTCATCTCAGAAATATGAATTCCAATATGCATATCTGCTTTTTCCTTGAGTTGATTATTACAACACTGACATTATTCTCTAGATCAGACAATCAGCTTCAAACTAATCTTGTTGGCAGGGCTACAGCAGCAATACAAGCAACAGGAGAGGATAGCTTTTTTCCTTCCTCTTCTTTCTGTTGGTGGTACTTTAATGCTCAGCCGCAGCACTCTCCTTTCTATGTATAGCATATTTGACAGAGGTGTAGGCCTTTAAAAACTATACTTCATGGGGAATACTTTTGTGCTAGAAAGGGAAGAAGCCATTTCAATCCCTTGTTGCTGCAATCCTACTGCCAAGAGGGTGAATGCCATCCTAAGAATGTCATCTCAGACCTTTGGGTATTTGAAAAGTGGTTTTCAGTATACATACATACAGTGTGTGTGTGTGTGTAAAGGTGACATCACACTTGCTGGATGAGGGTGCAATGGTAACCAGCCTTCAACCTGTCCAGTTCTCCAGGTATCCCACTTACTGATTCCATCCCAATCCAGGGCACAGGATATACATGTAAAAAACCTGTTTTTTTCCTAGAAGCTGCAGAGTAAATTAGAAACAAAAAAATTGGATTGAAACTCCTAGGCGTCTAAAAGAAGTGCTCTCACTTTAAAACCATAGGAATGTCATGTGTTTAACCAGGGATTGAAATAAAGATGAAATATTTTGCAGGTGTATTCAGCGCTGTTCTCAAATCAAGTTATTTTCTCATTTCTGGGAATTTACTGAAATAATTCCTTGAGCTTGTCCAAAATTGCAGATTTTAAAATAACAAATACCAAAAAATGAAAATGCTAGTACTTCCGTTCACTTAGGAAAGCCTGCCTTTTTTTATCTAGGATGTACAATTAATAATATGTACTATCCTTTAACTACATAATTTTTGAATTTTTTTATCTTGACAGCTGTCAACCAGCAAAGGACTTATTGCTGGGAATCTAAGTTATATTGAGGAAGACGGTGCAAAAGTAAATTGTACCTGCAGTACAACGGTATGCTTTGCTATTGCTTTAGGTTAATACATTTTCTATATTTATAATTCTGGAAGGATATGTATTTATGGTATTGCAGCAGCACAAGAAATGAGAAGGGGAAGAACATAAGAGGCACACATTATATAATGTATATAAAGTTATAGAAACAGTGTAATTATTCAACCAATATAAAGCTCTACAATATTTCCTCAGGAGCAAGTTTTATTCAATTGTTTCAAAGTGAAATTAGTGTCTTCTAATCCACTTCTGAATCGAGGTGAAGTGCTGTTTTTAGTAAATATGTAGCATGTATTAAAACACATTAAAAACAAAAGAACATAAGACAAGAAAGGAGGTAGGGAAATCCAAGATATTTCTTGAAAAAAGAGCAGGAAAACCCATGAATATTCAGGTTCAATCCAGACAAAAATAAATGGAAACTCTTGATACTCTGGTTAAGAACTGAAATGGAACAAAGGAGAAAAATCATGTTTTTTTTAAAGAGTTTATATGGCTCAAGAATTTCTGAGAACTAAAATAAATCTGGTACCCATCTGTATTAGCAGGTAGGATGAAAAGGTAGTGTTCCATTATCCAGGCGGAGAAGTGAGAAAAGAAAGCCTCTTCTGTTGTTGCATAAGAAATAACAATGTTGGATCTTGGCAGTTATTTGTACACAATATAGTTTCCCAGCCAACAATATCAAAAACTAAGAGAATGCAATCTTTAGTTTATTGGATTCAGATAAAATAGCAACCTATGTTTTGCTATTAATTAATCTATATAAATAAAAATGTAATGTTAAACTCAAAAACCACTGGACAAATTGACACCAAATTTGGACACAATACACCTATCAGGCCAACAAGTGACCATCACTCATAAAAACATTGAAAAACACAGCAGAAGAGACTTTAAAAGCAAAAAATATACAAAAATATATTACAACGCATGCATTACAAATGTTGTGACTGGGCACCAAAGATTGTCTCACACAGCAGTTTAAGGGTTAACAAAAGTCTTTAATGAGTCTCTGGTAGACTAACAGCACTTGAACAGCAGTGCTAGTTAACAAAACAAAAGGTCTTCAGGCAAGTAAACAAAGGAGGGAGAAAAGCCGGATTATCCCAGGACTCAAACTCAGGGAAAAAGGAAAGCAGGAGCAAACGCTGGCGTTGATAAACACAGAGTCAAACGGTCCTTGGTCATACACAGGCAAGAGCAGTAAACAAAGTCCAGAAAGCAGTTGCGTGGTCCAGGAACGTTTCCAAAGTCAGGGGCAAGAAGAAGTCACGTCCAATCCGAAGTCAAGGCACAAGAAGACACAATAACTGGAAACCCAGGACCCAAACAGAGGTTAGGCAGCACAAAGACCGAATACAATGCTTTGTCCTCTGCAAAGCTACACATCCCAGAGCTCCCATTTTTATTAGCAGTCACTATCGCTTGATTGGCTATCATCGCTATCATCTAGGTCATCTCCCRCAGCTGCTAGCTCYTTACCTCGCCAACGCTGCCATCGTTGARCTAATCCAGGATCCTGCCAAGATGTACRTTCCTGCCATGTATTTTGGAATCCCTRYAACRCGTCACTGGACGTGGGCTGATTACATATGTCCTGAATTTCCCTAACCCGAGTCCAGTCCAATTCCTCCTCCATCTCCTCATTACTGGCTTCCAGTTKATCTGCACTGGAATTGTCAGCTGTATCTTTAAGCCGTTTACTCAAAGTTTCCTCATCACTATCAGACTTATTGGCAACRCGCTTTACTCCCCGGTAATCCCCTTCTTCCAGATCCTCGGGTCCAAACCCTGCAAAATCTTCRGTGTCCCTAYGTGCCAAGAATATATCTCGAATACGCTTCAGCTGACGCTGATCCAGCTCTGACTCAGCATCACTCCTCCTTCTCCTACAACCGGTAGCAGCTTCACTGTCAAGACYTTGAGCCACAACACTAAAACCACATATATATGCAAACATACGTATATACACATATACACATATATACACACACAAAACACATATACACAGACTGGGCTACAGCAACATGTGGCAGGGGGATGGCTAGTGTGGAATAAAAGTTTCTCATCTTTTGCTATCACAAAGAAGGGCAAAGATGAACAAGGGATGTGAGAGCCAAAGATGCATAGCTGTTTGTTCACAGAATGTTGTTCTATGGTATAGTTAACTTTATAATAAACTCCCAGCCATACGTAGTGAATGTACACACAGTTATTTCACATGCACAGAATGGCCTGTTCATTCTAATGATGACAGATCACCATATGAGCAATGCAACACATGTGTGAGCTGTTTTCACCCCTGTAAAAAACAACAGGTGTAAGCTATTATAAACTTAGAATACCTTTGGGTGCGTAAGAGTGTTCAAACTTCGAATAGATTGCGAGATCCAAGAGCTGATCAGAAGCTTTGACTGTTGAGTATGGTCTAAGCAAAAAAAATGTTATTGGGAGCGCCACTTTTATTTTTTCTAGTTTTGTAGGACTAAACATAAGGTTCCTTCATTTTTAATATTCCTCTGGTATTCCTCATATTACAATATAATTGGCTGATATGTCCAGAACACCTGCAATGATATAATAGCCGCACTTCAATCCTTGGTATATAAATTTCTGTGCCAATTGTTCCCTCTTTCGTGTTTCTTTCTCCATATGTTTGGCATATTGAGGCAAATTCCAGTATGAGATATAAAATGTTAACAAAACATCCCATGACTTTAAATATCAGCTGAAAAGCAGTAAAACAAAGGGAAAATAAAGCAGTTTAAAATGTCTGTAAGTACCTGTCATCATGTTGTTTAATTTTACCCCTCTCTGTTGACCATATGAATATTTTGGCACTAGAGGAAGTTACTATATTTTGGAACTGTGTCTTCGACCAGTTGGCTTCAATTGAATTAACTTTCAGTGAAGTATGATTGAGACTGAATTATTAAACATATACATTAGAATCCCAAACATAGGAAATGTTGTGGCAGAAAGTTATTTAAGAAATTGAGGACTCTGAGATACTTTTTCCTGTTCTGCAATATCTAATAATTTTAAATTAATATATTTCCTTTGTTTATCTTGTTTCTTCCTTGTTGTTGTTGTTTTAGGCAGCTGTACCATCTAATGTTGAAGGAATGAGAAGTATCCTTTAGATAAAATATATACTTGAAAACTTGAAAACTAGGGGACTGTTTTCAGTTCTGTTTAATACTAAAAATAGACTAATGAACAAAATTTCCAGACTTCACTTTAAAAATAAAATATCTGATACAAAGTTACATAGTAATAAAATAATGAAGCAGTTTTACATTTACAAAAGGATTCAACACTGTATTGTGTACTAAAGTAGAATTCCGTCGATATTTTTCTTAGCCTTAATGTTACAGATTTGATCACAGATGCAAAATTTATTCTAATTGTAGAAAAAGATGCAACTTTTCAGAGATTGCTAGATGACAACTTTTGCAATAATATGGACCCATGCATAATTGTTACGGTGTGAAATTTGTGTTTAGGCTGATCAGATCCAAGTCCACTTGGACAGCAATTATTTTTTAAAGTTGAGGTTTAGGGCTAGCTTTTGGGCTGCAACTGTTTTGGTCATTCTTTGAGATAATTTAAACAGAGATAAATTTACTGGCCTCAGCCATTAATGCATGAATGCAGGAGTGTGGAGATGATAACAAAGTTGGAAGCAACTTTGAGTGGAGTTAGCAGAAATGACTGACTCTGGATCCAAAATAAAAGCTTGTAATATTAAATGCCTAGTTTATTGAATATCTACTTTTATGTGAAATTTTAGGAAGCTTTTCTTTTTTGGAAATTTTAATCAGATAAATGTATTTTACCATCTAACAATCTTAGTAGTCTGTTTTACATTGCAGTGATGAAATGTCTTCTGCTACTATTTTACTACAGTAAATTTGTTATTACTAACATATATATATATATATTTGCCATTTTTGAGAGAGTCAACGTTGGACACTGAACAGTAGAAAAATAGAAGTGTCCAAGTCAAATGTTTAGCGTATCAATTGCACAGCCCTACACTAATGACATCCCACCTACATTACAGTAAGATATTAAAAGCAAGACTTCCATTGAAAATGACAAATTAACTATAGTTTAAAAATAGTGATTGGAACTGGTTATTACAACAATATCATACATAGATTTACAGTGGCATTCAAACCTTCCAAGATTCAGTTCAGTGCCAGTTTTAATACATAGTTTGGATGCTCAATATCTGAAGGCCCCTTTCCTGTATATTATATGTGAACTGAAATTGTCATGAAAGACTAGTCTGAGTGCCAACACTAATTCAAGAGTGGGTCGTCTTTGTAGTAGCCTCTTCAATTAGATATGTATGGCATTTTCTTGGCTATAAATAAAAAAGATCTCTGGTGCCAGGCAAACAACTTTTTTCCTGCAACCTTTTAAAACAGTCGTATACTTGTTAACCAGTTGGTATGTCAAGTGGTTTTTAACTCTTTCAGACTTTTTAAACTATCATGGCATCTGGGGTTCTGGGAAAGGGGATATTGATCGTGTAAAGGTGAGTTATATTATACCTTATTTGTATGTATGTATGCTACCCTTTAATATATACATAAATGTGTAATTCTAGAATGTTATTTCTGAACATAAAATTGAGGCTTATCATATGATAAGGCATTATTTCCTTAGGGAAAAGGTGTACCAGATGTGAATACACGACTTTTACTCAAAAAGTTATGGGATACTTGCCATGTTCCTATTTTTGCCCTCATGGATGCTGATCCACATGGTAAGTATGGAAGAATCTAGAGAACACAACTGTACCATATTATTTCAGCTGGCAAAGTTGGAATAGAGACAATTTACATCAGAAGTAGGACCATTTATCCTATTAATATATTGGGAGCCACATGATATAATGTAATGGTGGGTAATGGGAGAAGCCAGAATAACTTCATGCTCTCACTTTCTCTTGACGATACTAAAATGAAAGATAGTGTGAAATCATCAGGGCGATTAATGCATTTATATTATCTAGTGCTGTTCTAAGGGGAGGGCAAATTAAGGAACGTAATATTTGCTACTAATTTCAGCCTGACATTGCTGTTGGTAGGGGCTTGACAGATTTAATGTGTGAAACATCCAAGCCTTGAAATTAAGGCAAATTAATACATTTGTCAGGAAAAAAATTACCATGCTATCCTTTCTTAATTCTATACCACTGATATTTTATATTATCTGTATTCTAGGTATTGAAATAATGTGTATCTACAAGTATGGTTCTATGGTAAGTTTTTTTCTCCCCCATTTTAATCACTGATACTTGCCTAAGTGATACCGACAAGTTATACCCCATTTTGATTATGGAATAGAAATCATTTGGGGCTCAATATCCTTAGGAGATATATTTATATCAAAAAAGCGGTGGTGTCAACTCAGATTATAGCAAGTGAGTTCTGTCCTAAATAGCAAGGTAAAATTATTGATATTGAGAAGATTTCCAAAGTAACTAGCAGAAAGGAGGATAGAAACTTTTTGCTTACCCTACCAGTCACTTTTCCGATATAGTCCCCCCCCCCCCATAGATGATTTCCTCCTCTTGATCAGTAGATGAATTTCAGACCCTGACTGATTGAAATACAAGTAGATAGAGACGTTGCTCAGGTAAATATATAAGCGAACTAATCTCCCATGTGTTCCTGTTCTTTTGCAGCCACCACAATTTTGCATATCATAGTGAACATCAACCAGAAGCCCATGCTTCCTGCCAAAATGTACAGCTCTATCCTATGCATACATTAAACCCTTTCAGCACATAAAGCAATTGCTTTATTGTATGCTTTCTTCACATTTATTTTAGAAGTGTGGAGACAAAATGCATAAGTAGATTAATGTAGTTATAGAAAATCCAGAAAATCTAGGATATCCAGGAAAATCAGCTAGATATCATGGCAGATATAATCAATCGTCTATTCTGGTATCATTGTATGAAATAAATATTCCAAATTACATTGACTAATTGTTATGGATTGAAAACTTTACTTTGTCATATGTTAAAGTATAACAAAGGCAAAGAGAAATAATACAGGGTACAATAGTTGCTATTTCATGTTTCAGTCTATGTCCTTTGAAGCCCCAAACCTTACAGTTCCAGCTGTAAGATGGCTCGGAATTCTTCCATCTGATTTTGAAAGGTCAGTAGTTTGAAAAAATGAAATGTATTATTCCAGCACAAACTCACACATGTATTCAAAGTCCAATTTATTCATTTGTTCCTTTTTCTTTTTCACCATCTTATTGGAGATACTTCCCCTGCTTCCCTTTCCACCCCAACAATAACACTTGATCAGTAAAATAATTGGTATTATTTTGAGAAGTCCTACTACTACTACTACTACCACTACCACCACTACTACAATTATTATTTTACTGACACAAAAACACAGTACGTCACAGCAAACAAGATATATATGCTGGATTTTGTATCACAAAATCACAAGTCAAACATGTCCCAAGCATCTTGGACTATGTGATGTATTTTCGAATGATGCGTGCAGATCCAAGTAAAGTGGCCTTTTGCAGTTGACAGATAGTTATTTTGTCAATGTTTATTGTTTCCAAATGCCGGCTGAGATCTTTGGCACGGCACCCAGTATGCCGGTTACCACTGGGACCACCTGTACTGGTTTATGCCAGAGCCTTTGCAGTTCAATTTTGTGGTCTTGATAATGGCTGAGTTTTTCCTGTTGTTTTTCCTCAATGTGATTGTCACTTGGTAGGGCGACATCAATAATCCAACCATTTTCTTTTCCACAATTGTGATGTCTGGTGTATTGTGTTCCAAAATTTTGTCAAAAGTCCCACAGTGTTTTTGCACGTTCATTTTCCACTGCCTTTGCAGGTACTATGATTATTTATTTATTTAGTTTGTACATTTGTACTCCGTCCTTCTCACACACACACACACCCGGGGGGGGGGGGGGGGGGGGGGGGGGGACGACTCAGGGCGGCTTCACAACAAGCACCCATTTGAGTACTAAACACAGTCATAGACATATTTAAAACATATCATTAAAATATATTACATTGAAAACATTTGGTTAAAATCTTGCCAGTTTAAAATCATTGTTTGAGACAGTCTATTGTCGTACATATCACACTGAGTCTTATTCTCAATTGCTGCTGCTACTGTTCAACTACTGCCTGTATTTAACACTCCAAAGTGGCAGTCTACATTTTTCTATAGATGGAGTTATAGCAGGCCATGCCCATACATGTGTTTAAAGATATTAGTGCAAAAATAGATGGGAAAAACAATCACAAAAAGAGACGGTGATGAGTCACTCAAAAGTAATAAATTCATGTCCCTATAATGTATACTGAAATGAATAGCTGAACATTGAATGTTAGTTCTTTCTCGATATTTTGTATTATCATTGGCTTGTCAGCATTCTTTTGTGTTTCATATATGATTTCAAACAATAAACATAGCCAAAGTAACATATCTAACTAATTTTCAGACTGAACATACCCAAGACTGCATTGATTCCACTGTCTAAACAAGATCAAAGTAAACTGGCCAGCTTGCAGTTGAGACCATTTATTGCTTATCAGTCAACCTGGAAGAATGAAGTATGTATGAACCATTATTATTTACTATCTATTATAATAAAAATAATAAAAATAAATACAATACCCATTTCTCCTTGTGGCTCGAGGCAGTGTACAACAGGTTAAAACAGGGAAATAAAACAGTATCACAATCACACCATGGCCATGTGAAAAATCAGTGTTCTGGGATCTTCCAGAACATTTGTATTATCTGAATTTCCAGGAGTCTTGGCACCTCTATTTTCAATGTGGTAGCAGCTGTGAACTAACTAGAACAAGATACTGTGAACAGGTTGTTGTTGTTTTATTTTAAAAACACCTTTTAATACTTGCTTAACTCTGAGGCTTAACCCAGGTTCTGAATTCAACCATAGTAGCACCTGAAAGAATTGGTATGCAAATTGTAAATGCTTACTTAAGTTAAAAGGGATAAGACCTTCAGTCAACATTGAATTAAGCATATTTAAAGAAAATTTGTGTGCTTTATATAGAGCACAATTGTAATGCAAAGATTCTTGTAGCAGCACTGTAAAGTTTAATTAGTATTTGTATTATGAGGCAGTTACATTTAATCAGAACAGAACTTTGTCTCTATCATGTAACACAGGTTATTTTCAGTCACTGGAAATTGTACATAACAACAATTTAAACTGAAATGTGAATTCTATTTTTTTTTTTTTTTGCAGTTAGATATTATGGCAACATGCCAAATGAAGGCTGAAATTCAAGCACTGAATTCTTTTTCATCTGATTATCTTTCCAGAGTCTATTTGCCAAACAAATTGCAGTTTGGTGGGTGGATATGAATATTCAAATATAAAAATGTATTTTTGAATTTGTTTCTTCCAATATTTCCAATTGGGGAGAATGATTATTCCCTTATC